AAACTGCAGACATCTTCACCGTTCAACGGGCACGACTTCTTTACCTGGAGCTTTGAGTTCGAGCTGCTGATGGAGGCCGCGCACCTCTTGGGATAGTTCAACAGGTCCATACCATTTCTAAGCAATGGCACTGCAAAAGAGCAGGAAATCTTCACCTATCAGTCGCTGCTGGCATACACAGTTCTCCTGCGAAACCTGTCACCACAAGTGCAACAGAGCATCAGAACGTATCGGAGCTACGGAAACTCCGCGGAGCTCGCTTGGCATCATCTGAAATGTCTCTATCAAGCAAAAGACAGTGTGACACAAAGCAGACTCATGCAGCAGTTGACAACAATACAAATGACAACCGGGGAGAAGGCGATGCAGTATATGAGCCGCTACCAGACACTTAGCGACCGTCTGCTTCGGTGCGGAGGCACAATCACTGAAGAAAGCTTCGTGACACTTGTTCTCGCCGGGCTCGGACCAGAATGGAGAACCACCCGCTCGCTTCTTCGCGCCCACGGACGAATTTCGGAGATGCACCTCTGCGCCGAGCTTCATGCTGAACAACAGGAGATGGACCTGTTTGAAGAAAGACAACCTCGAAACAAGCAGCAACCGTTAGTCTTCTATACTCAAAGAAGAAACGACAACAACCACAATCGACGCGACAAGCAGAACCGACATGACACCAGAGGTCTCACCATCGTGTCGCCGTTCTGCCACAACTGTCAGACATGCGGACACTCCAGGGTCAACTGCACACGCCCTCGAGTCTATCGTCCAGCAGATTCGCAAGTCGCCTCCACTCAAGAGAATCCGCCAAGCCGTTCCTCTACACCTGCACAAGGCGCACCGAATATCATTAATTGCATGGTACGCATCGACAACTGCACACCCGGGTCACCACCCACTTACGCTCCAGAAAAAGAAGAAATGCTGCCGCCGCGCTCACAAGGTCTTCAGGTCAACCCCACGTATGCTGCAGTCGCCAATGCCGAACCCACCGGGTGAAACACCTGGTTCCTGGACAGTTGTTGCGGTCAACACATGTGTTCCTCGAGGCGCTTCGTGCAACAAGAACGACGCCTCAACCGCGACGTCATCATCACCGTCGCCAACAATGAAAACCTGAAGACAAAGAGACAATGAGTCGTTCAGCTTCAGTCAATGGAACGTCATACTGCAACTCAACAAAGTTCTCATCGTCGACAATCTGGGATACAATTTACTCAGCGTCAGCCAGTTAATGGCGAAAGGAATTCACTTGGAATGCGACTCGGAGGCCAATGAGTTCGTCTTTATCACGGGAAGGGCGGCCTCTTCATCGGTCGCGCTCTCCTGAAGTCGGGCGTCTTCGTGCTGGACTTTGTCCCCGACCGCGGCACTGCTGACAGCGACGGCATCGTGTCGTTCGCCGTCTGGACGCACCTGCCCGATCTTGACCCCAACTTTAGTCCAGGCGGGTTTTGGTACTCCAACACCATCCCTTCAGCAGAGAGAACACGAGCATTAGCAATCATTCGACAAGAACGACAAGTACCAGCAAGTATCCCTTCCCGGACATCACCTGTAGTAGCAGCAGCAGGACCCAGTCGTGCGCCATCACCAGCAATCCGAGGACCACCGACCTAAGCAGATCAGCTCATGCCCATCACCCGAGGAGTCTGCCGAAGTCCCCCTACGGTCATCGCGTTCTTCTCCAACGCCGACCTGTACCATCGTTCTCCCGGACATCGCGCTCCCGACGACATCTGGCATCAACGGCTTGGGCACCCTGCAAACAGCACCATCCTTCAAACCATACAAGCCGGAGTATTAAAAAAGGACGCTCTCCTCACAACAAGCGGCCAGGAGCTTCGACGACCTCGCGCATGATGCTTCACGTGCCCTGAAGCTGATCTTCCCCATCAACCTTTCCCGTCGCACCACAATCCAAGCACACCTGCATACGCACCGATGGAAAAAGTTTACAGCGATATTTTGAGCATGCCTCGAGACGACACTGAAGCTGAGTACAACTACGTCATCACGTTCATCGACGCAGCCACACGATACGTCTGGCACTTCAACCTCAAGACTCGTGACCAAGCATTCGAAGCCTTCACGACGTGGCTCCCCATCGCTGAACGAGAATCGGGCTCCCAACTCAAGAGTTTCCAGTCAGAAGGGGCACTGGAGTATCAGTCACAAAGGTTCAGGAGCTGCTTGGCAGAAAGAGGCGTCAAATGCCTAGTGTCCCTGCCCTACGCCCACCAGCAGCAGGGGGTAGCAGAGAGGATGGACCGCACCTTGCAGACGACGATGCGGAAGCTGCTCCTGGGGATGAGACTGCCCAACACCCTTTGGTCTGACGCGATGACGCATGCAGTCCACCTCCACAACTTGCTGTCCTTGTCATCACTTCCCAACATCGCTTCACCACACCTGCTGTGGACAGGAAAACTGGGCAGCACAAAATTACTTCGAGTCTTCGGCTGCATGGTACAGTAAAGACCCCACACAGCCCGAGCAAGACGATTTTCTCAACGAGCACAGTGGGGACTACACCTCGGCATCACAAAACATTTTCACGCGTGGAAACTTCTCGACATCCAGGACAAAACCACTGTGGCCTCACGTGATGTGATTTTCTACGAGAGACTGACGCTGCAGCATTACCTGGACAACGTCGCCAACACCGCAGACCCCACCGACGGCTTCGAGAGCCATCGGTCCTTCGCCGACCGTGCTGCCGAAGCTGACGCAGCAGAAGAAGACGTACCTGAAGCCTCGGAAGCTGCCGGACCACTCCCTTACTGCTCCGTGCCCGTTCCACTTGACGACGACAACCCTCTCGATAGTAACAACCTCGATACCTTCTACCATTTCGCTGACCAGGGCTACACTACACCTCAAACGGTTGACACAAATGTCTCTGAGCGCATCGGACAGAATTTCTTACCTGATCATGAAGATGGCAACGAAGCAGCTTATCGCGGGAATGAAATTTGCCCTCGACGCACACCCACGGGCCTGCAGATACTTGGACTATGGGTCGCCGTCCAGAGCCCGCCGCCGCCGTCACCGCGCGAGCCAACGACTCTGTCGCAGGCTCTGGCGGGGGAACACAAGGCGAAATGGAAGGAAGCAATGGAAAAGGAACTGAAGGCCCTGCAAGACCGAAACACATGGAAACTAGTCCCTGCAACAAAGACCAACGGGAAGAATGTGCTCTCGGGGAAGTGGGTGTACCGAATCAAGACTAACGCGGATGGCTCCATCGACCGCTTCAAAGCTCGTTGGGTCGTACGTGGATTCGATCAGCGATGCGGAACCGACTACACGGAGACATTTGCCCGAGTCTCTCGACATACCTCCCTGCGCATTCTACTTGCCGTCGCGGCCACGAAAAAGTTACCACTGCGACAGATCGACGTCGCCAACGCCTTCTTGTACGCACATGTGGACGATGAGATCTTCGTTGAGCAGCCCCACGGTTTCATCGACGATCCCACAAAAGTGTGTCAGCTGATAAAATCCCTCTACGGAATCAAACAAGCACCGCGGCTCTGGCAGCAGCACCTTCACGGCCGCCTCGTCAGGATCGGCTTCCTGCAGCTGTCGCACGACCAAGGGATGTACCAAATGCAGAAGGGGAGCGATTTCGTCCTACTCATCGTCTACGTCGAGGTCCTGCTCTACGTCGGCTCCACCACCGACGTCGTCACCTGGTTCGAAGGGGAGCTGAAGAGTGACTTAACACTCACGGTGTCAGACACCGTCACCCAGTATCTAGGGCTGAACGTCGTCGAAGACGATTCGGCGTTCTACCTACACGCCGAAAAGTACGCAGGCGTCGTGGCGAAGAAATTCGGACTAACGCCGATCACAGCCGCAACTCCCTATCGCTACGGGAACGACAACAGCGACACCTCCGCGAAGCTCCCCACTAAGCAAATCCAGGAATACCAACAGAAGCTCGGCTGCCTCCTGTTCGCAGCAGTAACCTGCCGACCGGATCTGTCCTACAGCGCTAGCCAACTAGCAACACACCTAAAGTAGCCGGAGCAAGAGCATCTCGAGGAGCTAAATCGGGCACTGCTCTAGTTCGTCTCTATGCCGACAGTCGGACTCACCAACAGCAAAGTAACACCAACGTCCGTACAACTACTCGGCTATGCCGACGCCGACCACGCGAGAGACAAGGAAAATCGGCGTTCGAGAACAGGCTACATCTACCGACTAGAGCCTATAGGGACTATTTCCTGGCAATCGAGCAAGCAGGAATTAATCGCCCTATCCTCGGCTGAAGAGGAATTCATCGCTCTCTGCTCTGCGACCAAAGAGGGACTTTACCTGCGGGAGCTGCTCGAGGAAGCAAAAATTGCGACCATGCCCGCCTTCTCGTTATTCTGCGACAACCTATCCGCGATCAAAATCGCGAACAAAAACGGGTTCGCCAATCGAACCAAGCACATCGCCCTGCGGTACTTCTTCGTCAAGGATGAGATCGCGAAGGGGAGACTTCAACTCAGTTACTGTCCCACAACAGAAATGGCTGCAGATTACCTGACGAAGAAACTGGCGAAGGAAAAGTTCGATTACTGCATGCTGCTGACCGGGCAGATAAACGTCACTGAATCCGGACACGTCAGCACTCCAGAAACGAAGGGGAGTGTTGGAAATACCTCGAAGACTTGAGCGTTTCTGAAGTGTAAACACTACACTCGAGGAAAGTCGTATCGGGTACGCGAGTCAACGGAGGTTACACGAAGAGGTTGGACGAAAGAATACGAAAGGGCGAATGAATTCGAAGGGTCGCAACTGGAGGTTGCGATTGACCGTTGTGACTGCAAGGGTGGTAACCGAGCCGACAATCGAGTCGTTGTGCGACTCGATAACTGTTCCTTCAACTGTATTCTACAACTGCTTCATCTCTTACTTTCTATATATTGATGTATACTTGTTTCTTTTAATCAATCACTTGCTCTCACATACTAGTGCAAGGGTTCAACTACTCAACACTTCCGCTGCACTACTCAATCATTGCATACAAGTGGGACTTAGAGTCAGAAAGTCACCAGTCCTAACCACTGGGACAAGAAGGGATGTCATCAGGAGGGTTAGGCTCCATATATCCACCTTCCCCGGAGAAAGCCTCTCCAGTACCCTCCCGAGACAGAGAGAGAGGATCGGCAGGGTTATCCCAGTGCCACGACACTTAGTCTCTGAAAAGATCCTAGGGCTTTTCTCAGCCCAACACCTTGCTTGCACAAACACTGCTCACTAAAGATACAAAACAAGAATCAATATATAGGTACGAGTTCAATCTCTACATGTTAATACACATTCTGCTGTGTACTGGCAGTGCTATGTCATTCCACGCCCCCAGTTTTCCCACTGCCCTGTGTCTCACCAGTTGCCAGGGGGACATTCGGGCATGGAGCAGTGCTGGCAGGTCATTCGGGCATGGGGTGGTGCTGGCAGGTCATTCAGGTCATTCGGGCATGGGGCAGTCGAGTGCGGGCAGGTTGTGCAGCAGCGAGAACAGCTGCTCCGCATCGAACGACGCCTCCCTCCCCTGACCCATCCCCACCCCCTCTCCCGCCCACTGCGCTGCCTCATGCTTCTCCCCCTGCGCCTGCTGTTCCTCCTGCCCCTGCTCCCCTCCCTGCACCTGCCTCCCGCCTGCCAACTCCGCCCTCTCTCCCCCTGCCTCTGCTCCGCCCATCCCCACTGCGTTCTCCCCCCCGCCCTCCCTCCCACTGCCCACGCACACCACCTCGCCTGCATGCGCCGTGAGGGCGTTGGTCACCACGAGCGCGCCAAAGCTGTTTTCAGAAATGAGGATTCGCTTGGGCCCGCCGTCCCCCTCCCTCTCGCCCTCGCCCTGCACCAGCTGCCATGCCACGCTGCTGCGGCACCGCTGCAGCCGCCGCAGCCACTCCGGCATGGCGGCGCCCTCTGAGGACGCGCCAGGGGCGGGCAGGGACGGCATGGGCGGCAGGGGCGGCAGGGGCGGCAGGGACGGCAGGGATTGGGGGGGAGGGGGGGCAGGCATGAAGGACATGGGAGCGGCGGTGGGGTGCGAGAGGTGTTGAGGGGCGGAGGTGTCGGCGAGGGAGGAGGCGATAGCAGCAGCTGTGAATGGCGGCGGAGAGCCTGGGCCCAGAAGGGGGGCAGGGCTGCTTGATGGGTGGCAGGGGAAAGTGTCGCTCCAGGCAGCAGGAGGGGGTGCAGCATTGGTGGATGGATCGCAGTGATTGGCATGCGCGGCCATGGGGGGCAAGGCGGCATGCGCGGCCATGGCGTGCAGGTCTTCTTGCGACAGCCCTGCGTCTGCCCGCCTCAGCCTGCTCACAGCAGGTGCTGCTGCCACCACCGCACCTACTGCCGCCTCCACTGCCGCAGCCGCTGCTGTGGGGTGCACTAAGTGCAGAGAGTGCGGCAGCTGAGGGTGGTCGGGGTGAGGCCAGCCGCCCCCATATTGCACTGCCACCGCCTGCGAGCTATCCTCTGCCGCACCTGCCATCTGCTGCTGCTGCTGCTGCTGATGTGGCTTCTCGTGTGCTGGCTGGTACTGCTGGTACTGCTGGTGCTGCTGGTGCTGTTCTTGGTGTGCCTGCTCGTGTTGCTGTCCCTGGTACTGCTGCTGCGGCTGCACCTGCAGCTGTTGCTGCTGCTGCTGCTGCCATGGGTGCTGCCACATGTGCTGCCCCGCCCTCTCAGCGCCGCACGTGCACTCGCTGCACCTGCTGCTCGCCTGCTGCCCGCCCGCCACGCACGCCGCCTCGCCCATTCCCCACGCGGGCGTGCAAGCAGCAGCGCCATGAGGGGTGATGGGGGCGGAGTCAGCGGGGGGGTGGCACCAGGCGGGGCTGCTGCTGGGGTGGGGGGGCGACGCAGAGGCGGACGCCGACACCTGCTGCTGCTGCTGCTGCATGTCGGCCGCAGCCACGGGCGGCTCTGCGGCACTGGGCTGTAACCGACCACCGCCGTGCTGCGGCACTGCAGAGACACTGACTCCTGCTGCTGCTGCAGCAGCAGCCGCCTCTCTCATCTGCTCCTGCTGCCTCTCCTGCCACTGCGCCGCCAGCCCCGCGGCAGTGGCCGCCGCATCACCGCCAGCCGCCCCCCCTGCCTGGGTCCTGCCGCTCTCCTCCCCCGCCCATCCGCCCTCACTCTCCGCCGCCCCGCCTTTCTCCGCCGGCCGCCTGGGCGACGAACTGGGCCACCCGCTACCACTGCCGCCACCAGACACTGCATCCGCACCGCCACCAGCAGCGGTATCGGCGGCAGCAAGGTGCGCGGGGCCCTGCGGGGGCGAGGCGGGGTGGTGCAGTGAGAGGATGGTGACGGGCGGCGCGTGGTGGTGGCGGCCGCTGTACGAGATGGCGAGGTCGCTGTCCGGCGCCACCTTGTTGAAGTCCACCACTCGCCGCGCCTCGCACTGCTCGTCGCCCACACGGTGCGCACAGCGGAAATAGTGCCTGTGGGTGGGGGGGAGGGGAGAGGGAGCAGGGGAGAAGAGAGTAAGAGGTAAGAGGAGAAGCGATGCATCGGCGGGGAAGGTGCACGCAACGCAGCACAACGACAGAACAATTGTGCTTATCGGATGAGCACAAGTCGCAAGGACAAGTGAAAGCACCTCAGACGCACTGAAAGCACCGCAGACACAGTGAAAGCACCTCAGACGCACTGAAAGCACCTCAGACGCACTGAAAGCACCTCAGAGGCACTGAAACCACCGCAGACGCACTGAAAGCACCTCAGACGCACTGAAAGCACCTCAGACGCACTGAAAGCACCTCAGACGCACTGAAAGCACCTCAGACGCACTGAAAGCACCTCAGACGCACTGAAAGCACCGCAGACGCATTGAAAGCACCTCAGACGCATTGAAAGCACCTCAGACGCACTGAAAGCACCTCAGACGCACTGAAAGCACCGCAGACGCACTGAAAGCACCTCAGACGCACTGAAAGCACCTCAGACGCACTGAAAGCACCTCAGACGCACTGAAAGCACCTCAGACGCACTGAAAGCACCTCAGACGCACTGAAAGCACCTCAGACGCATTGAAAGCACCTCAGACGCACTGAAAGCACCTCAGACGCACTGAAAGCACCTCAGACGCACTGAAAGCACCTCAGACGCACTGAAAGCACCGCAGACGCACTGAAAGCACCTCAGACGCACTGAAAGCACCTCAGACGCACTGAAAGCACCTCAGACGCACTGAAAGCACCTCAGACGCACTGAAAGCACCTCCGACGCACTGAAAGCACCTCAGACGCACTGAAAGCACCTCAGACGCATTGAAAAGCACCTCAGACGCACTGAAAGCACCTCAGACGCACTGAAAGCACCTCAGACGCACTGAAAGCACCTCAGGCGCATTGAAAAGCACCTCAGACGCACTGAAAGCACCTCAGACGCACTGAAAGCACCTCAGACGCACTGAAAGCACCGCAGACACAGTGAAAGCACCTCAGACGCACTGAAAGCACCGCAGACGCACTGAAAGCAGGGTTCTTTAGCGCCGCGATTTCAGGCCCGCAGCTCACCCGCATCATCCCCAGCGGCATTCCCCCGGCGCTGCGGTGTGGAGGCGCGGCTCACCTGGTGTGGGTGCCGCCCGAGAGCTCCTTCTGGCCGTACTTGAGCCAGATGTGCCCGTCGCGTGGCAGCCGGTGCTCGAACAGAATCAGCTTCGACCGCTTGCACGGCCGCGCGCTGCATTGGCGAGAGGGAGCAGGGGCAGTAAGGGGGGGGGGGAGGCGAGGATGAGGAAGCAAGCTTAAAGTACAGATCGGAAATGGGGCTCAAAAGGAGCGTCCCGCAGGGTTTTTCGTCCTGGGGGCGAGAGTACTCCTCTCGTCGTCCCGCGCTCACCTTCCGTGAGCCGCCGCCGTCTTGCCCGCGCCCGCCTTCGACTTCACGCTGGACGATTCCATCGCCGCGCCGCCTTCCGCAGGCGCAACTGGCGGTGCATCTTCTACCGGCTGGGAGATCGAGTCCTCGCTGCGCTCTCGTTTGAGCGGCCAGCTTTCCTTCTCCGTTGTCTCGAGCTCCCCGCAGCGCCGCGCCATGCCGTCTGAATCTCTCGGATCTGCCGCCATTCCGCCGCGAATTGTGCGTTGAGCGTGACGATCGCCGCCGTATGCAGGGCCGTGGATGGCGCCGCAGCGAATAGTGGAACGAGAGGTGCGTCTTTCGAGGAAGAAGCGAGGCTGGGAGTCGCGAGTGGGGGTTTCAAGCTCGGCGCACGGAGGCATGGTGGTGGTGACGCACTGGTGAGTCACATTCAGAATCTTGTGCTCGAGTTGGTGTGCTTTGCTGTCGAGAAGGGTAAGAAAGTTGTGATTTTGTGGAAAGAACTGCCAGTGCGCTGGCAGAGGAATTCGGGCGGTGCGCGTGATGGTGCTACAGAATCTGGCGAATGGACCTGCTGTGTTGCAAACGACTGTAGAAGATTAGAGAGTCACCCTGAATGCTGATTTAGTTTTAGGCTGCCCTGTAGAGGCAGAGCTGGCAGACCACACAGTACAGTGTATGCTCTTGTGAAATGCTGGCTCTTGAGTTGGTTGGGGCTATTTGTATTCTTACGAACAAAATTCCACCTAAATAAGACATGGGAAATAGAAATCGTTTTTATTTTATGCTACTTTGAAAGGCTTTTCCAATTGAAAACCACGTCCAACCATATTCCTGCCCGCCCTCGCGCGGGCGGAAGGCGACAGCAGAGTGCGAGTTCAGAACTGGGAGAGGGAACTCGGGGGAGGGAGCGGAACTGGGTACGGAGCTACACGCAAGCCGCGACATCTTCAGTACTAATAACTTCACAATTGTTTCAATTTACCCTCTGTCTAGGGTGGCCCGTGGTTGTCTAGAGCAAATAATAGGAAATGTGACACTTTTTCACGCTTGAACATTACGGGCTGCTGCGAGCTCCCACGGGGTTCGACGACAATCACAGCATAACTGGTTCAGTGCGAAGGGCGTGCACTTCGAACTACCTTACCCTGCCTATGGAATTAGACACAATACTTAGGATTTACACCACCTCAAAACTCAAACCGTGCTGGGGGTATTTGACTCGAGAATTTCTAGGGTGAGAAAGTACCGCGATCTATGTGTATTGGTAAGCACATCACCACCACCGCCATGGCTGCGACTCGGTTTGGACTCACACGCTTTGCATTGTATCCCAGACTTTTCCCAGTCCCTCTCCCAACGACAAAGCTGGAATGTAGCTCCTCCCTGGAGCGCAGCATGCTAACGCAGCACGAACGCGGACATCATCAATGTCTGACGCGCTTCTCCTTCGAGAGGATTCAATTCCACGGCGACGAAAGGCCACAAGCACCACCGTGTTGCCATCCCAACGCGTTTCGTTCACGCGGAGGAAGGAACACGACATCGTCACACGACTGTTCATAGAAGCATGTTGCGGTCAGGAAATGCAGTTAGCAACTGTAGACAGACCGTTGCAGGAAAAAAATAGGTGGACTTACAGTACAATACACTTTCTTGATGCTACAGATCCACTTCTGTATTATGAGGCTTAAACCTTTAAAGTCCAAAAGGACATTAGGCTGGAAAGTCTGCAGTAATTCCCGCGGTTCGAGTGTTGCTTTGTGTGGAAATTTTCGACCTTCCCTCTGCACATGGTTACTTACGTCTCACCTAAGCTCAAGGAATGTTGCCTAAGTGCGGAAAGCCTAAGACGCGGAAATGAAATTCGATCCGTCTCCTTACGTAAATGGCCAGTCACTTACTTTCAATAAACAATTTGTAAACTGTTCCTCTACGGCCAGTTACCCATCTCAGTTGTAGACACACGAAACGTTTTGCTCACAAATTTAAAGCCGGGGACACAAGTTTACCAGCTGTAAAACAAATGGAAGGGACAAACACTACTACTTGGCCGGCGTGTGGTAGGCACCAGCGAAATTGGTTGCGAGTATTGCAATTTCGATCGGCCAATATCGTAAACACTCATATTATGCCTTGATAGTTATTCAGGTGTAATCCGTTTGAATAATGTGGCACTGTTACAGGATTGCTTTGGCCTGGCTTGCCACCACCCAAGCCACCCCTTTCTAAGTGACACGACTGTCGATATGATAGGTTGGTGTGTCAACGGCACGAATGCTGTAGATCCGCTGCTTGCGACGAAATCTGTATGGGTGAGGACCGCACTATGTGAAGTAGGCATCTCACAAACAAGGTATTACCTTTAATGTCAAAAAAAAAAAAAAAAAAGTAACTGCTCTAGGATTCCGTTTTTTTTTTTCTGTGCGATTGGTTTCCGAATCCGTCCAACTTACGGAAATGATTTCGCCTGATTCACTAGCCTAATGATTCATGTTTTCTGGAATCCGTACGGTTTGTCGAGAGCACCCCCCCATCTCCCTCCCGCTCCCCCCCCCCCCCCCCCCCCCCCCCCCCCCAACACCTCTTGATTCCTTGCCAGCCAAATTTGTAGCGGCCGAATCCTTTTGGCTACGGGTTTTTTTATTTTTCTTTTATCTATGGGTGACGCTAAGGCTAATGCCGCTAAAACGAATTGGGCCACTGTGTTCAATTACAGTACGACACGTCTCGTATTTTCCTTCCCCAACTGCAGTTGATTCCATCCTTCACACAGTGCAGTCCTCACCCACCCCACCCCATTTGTCAATACGGATTTCGTCGCAAGCGGCGGATCTGCAGCATCCGTGCTCTGAACCGGCAGCCAAGCATATCGATAGTCGCGTCATTTAGGAAAAAGTGGCTTGAATGTTGGCAAGCCAGGCCAAAGCTCTACTATAACAGTGCCACATAATTCAAGGGGATTACACCATAACAGCTTCCCAGGCATAATCGAGTGTTTACTTATTGTCCGAATTTCGATCGCCTCTGAAAATCTCGTCACTGGCTCTCGCGACCCCTATATCCCGGGTTGTTTTGGGAGGAACCTTGAAGACTCAAGTTTTGGGACCTTGTTTTGCAACTGGTTTGCGCGTTTAGATTGGATAGCAAAAACCAACCACAACCAGCTCATTTACGCATCCTCATGTTACAAAACCTGATTTTTTTCCAACCAATTATAAAACACTAGCCCCAGGTTCTAGAAACTTGGGTTTCGGGCTTTAAACAAAACCCACACATCCCATACTACACATGGCTCGTGGTAATATTAAATGGTGTAATTGGACAGCATCAATAGTTTCTAGCAACCTGATTGTTTCTAGGTCAGCAGAGAGCGTTTTCGTATTCATAAGGGGGTGCCCAAGGTATTTGAATTTGCGACATCCTAAGAAGTCATGAGAAGGCACAGTGTGGTGATTGTTTTTTGAACGGTTGAATATAGCGATCTCCTGGTTCCACGATGTCCCGAAACCTTACACTCCTACTTCGGACACCCCCTAAAGGCACGAGCCAGTAGAAGGTTTGAATCCGATACCTATTCGAAAACAGTACCAAAATGCGGGATCTCACGTTGTAAACATAAGTCGTCTAGAAAACGAAGGTCACTCAACTGGCCTCTTTGGTGATGCTTCCCAGGGGTGACCGCCCCTGCATAGAGAACCGCTGAAAATAGCAGCATCGAATATAACGCAAGCCAGGTGTAGTACCTCGCCGCATGCGACGCGAACGTTTCACTATCACGGTGTCAGTGCTTCCATTCCAATTGTTTCCACCGCCAATCGTTCTACAGTTCTACTGTACCAGCTGAAAAGCACCACGCTCTGGGTAGGGACGGGCTGGCTGGCTGGAGGGCGGCTGGCTGTTCTGTCGATTGTGTGCACAGTGCGAATCTTGTTTCGATGGTTGGAGAGTGGGCCAGGCGCGCTACACTGTTGTACTCTCCAATGCTGCAGGGAAGCTGCAAAGAGGGCTGAAATTCACGGTGCTATTGTATTCAAGGCGTTTCAAATGTAAAAAAAAACAATATAATTCAGCATACTCAACTTAGCATTATAAAGGGAACAAAAATGTATTTGACATGTCATCCTGGCTTTAAAGCGAGGGTCTCAAAACCCCCGAACTCAAAAACTTAGGTTTTGAGAGGGGGGTTGGGCGAAATTCGCGAGAGTCGCAAAACGCAGCAAAGGAACGGGGCTGGACGCGAGGGGCAATTAAGGCCTCTTGAACAAAGCCCCACCTCGCTCGGCATGAGTAGTCTCGACAGCCCTCCCAGGTGTAGAAGTGAACCACGTGTTTAGGCTGGCCAAGATCTAGAGTTGGTGGAACCCAGGGTCTCAGATATCATACGAAATCCGTCTGATGGTCTGAAAATCAGACCTATTTTTTTGCTTTCATCTGATTTTTTGACGTGGTGAATTATTTCTTCTGATTGTCCATCTCAGTCATAAGATTTCGTCTGAAAGTTCAGACTTGGTGTATTTTTTCGTCTGAAATGTCAGATAGCGCGTACAATTTCGTCTGACTGCAATCGCACATTATCCCACTGCGCCAATGGGTCACCTGCCCACTGGCCCAGACTCTGCCATCCTAGTCGTGGTCGGTGAGATTTTTTTGGCTAAGTCCTCGACTGCCATATACATTCCCCCACACCCCTAGAATACCTAGTTTTCCCGGCTAAGTGCCCCACACAAGAGATATTCCTCCACACACCCCTCGCAACAACAAATTTTCGGTTAAGTCTCCCACACCAGATTCATTCATCAACACACCACACCAACCCAAAAAAAATATGCGAAGTCCTTAACTGCAAGAAACATTCCCCCACACACCCCTTGCAGCCCGGTTTCCAGCTAAGCCCCTGCTACCCTGCTTCCACACTGTTTTTTCTGCTTCGTCGCTTGACTGGACTGGGGGCGGGGTGGAAGGAACCCTGAAATTGATGGGCAAAGAGAGGGGGCTGCCTGCGCGTGGCGCGTCGCGCCACCTGCGAGTGTTCCTGCCAGAATCCGAGGGCGTGTGTCTTTCAGTTCCGGAACTCAGCAAGTCCCGGAACCGGGTCTGGTTACACATTTCGCAGCTCATTTCGACAGGGCTTCGCGAGCTCCTCCCTAGGCAAAATTTTCGCTAGTTCCGGAACTAGTTCCGGAACTTCCATAAGCGGAACCGTAAGACACACGCCTTTAGAGCGTTTTCCTACGGCCTCTGCACAGGCCTGCCTGTTCCCAGACTCGCACGCTTCAGGCCGTGCAATTACTCTTGGGCTCTTCTGCGTAGTTCAGACTAACGAGGTTCAGGGCATGTTCTAAACTTCTTCGCAGGCGCACCTTTTCCGGAGATGCGCGAGTCTCTACAGTTCGATTATGACCCGAGCATAATAAAAGCGGTTGCAAGTCTCTGCTGGAATTGCAGCCTGCCCGCATGCCAGT